CATCCAATGGGTCTTTTATTTGCATGACTCGTGCACACATGGTAGCTGTCGGGCGATGAGCAATACCCACACCGAGCTCTGCAGCGATATGCCCGGTTGCTTCTGACACATGTTTAATGTACGGTAGAGGGTGCCAGAACGTTGTTGGCTCTCCTTCGTTTGTTCCCCGCGGACGCGCACGGAGGCAGCGGCTGACGAAGCTGTTCGAAAATTCATTTCTGGCCAGCTGGTCACGAAGGTGTCGTAGTTCTTGCACTCGCCCCTCCGGTTCTCTGCATTGTGCCTTCACCCTCTGAAAGGGTGCTCTAATACAGCCAAGTTTATGCGCCATTGTGTGGTTGCTATGGAACCTGAGCACATGAGTGTTGTTAGTCGCCTTTCTATAAATCATGATGCTGAATTCCCCGTTGGATCTGCGCGTGACGAGGACATCCAGGAACGGTAGTTGCCCGACATTTTCTTCTTCCTTTGTGAATTGGATGTCGGGAAGATGCCGTTAAGCAGGTTTTGGAAGTCTGCCAGCCTGCTCCGTTCGATTATAACGGAAGTATCGTCCACGTATCGGCACCAGAATGCAGGTTCAAATTGGTCAAAGGCTACCTTTTCCAGCTCCTCTAAGACCAGTTCTGCGATGAGACTGGAAATTGGGGATCCCATCGGCGTCCCTTTGGTCTGCTGGTATGTTCGGCCATTAAACGTGAAAAAGTTTCTTTGGCAGAAGAGTTGCATGAGATGGTCAGTTTTTAGAGGACCCCTCGATTCATCCTATTTCTCTTCAAGTCGTTTGCTTAGGACGTCGCATGCCAGGTCCGGAGGGGTGGATGTGAATAGTGACACGACATTAAAAGATACTATAGTTTGATCTGATTGAACTGTTCTGCCCGGATAGCGGCTAGAAATTGGGAGACCGAATTGATTGAGGTCGTCGAGCCCTCTTGAAGAAAGTTAAGTTTTCATGACATACATTTGGATAGGTTGTATGTAGGGCTGCCTTTCAATGCCACGATTGGCCGGCGTGGAACTTTTGGCTTGTGGATTTTGGGCAAGCCGTAAAACCGATCCAGTGCTGTGTCGGTTAGTTTGGTTTGTCGCCATTCGTCTTGCGACATCATGTTGTTGCGTCAAAGTCGGTTCAGAAGACCAGTTAGCTGACTTATCGTCGATTTAGCCCGTGAGGAAGGCGTGGGTTTGTAGGATTGTTGGTCGTCGAGGAGGGCTTGCGCTTTCGCGTTGTAATCGCTGCGGTCCATCACGACCGTTGCTCTTTCCTTGTCGGCTGATAGCACTATTATATCGTTGTTCATTTTTAATCCTCTCATCGCCTCTTCTTCCGCCGGTGACAGGTTATTGGTGGGCCTATTCGTCATTAATAGGGAGGTGAACTTCTGGCACACTGTGCTTCACGTCGGCTGCTGCGTTGGTTCGCACTAGCATGGCTTCCAGTGCCGCGATAAATTCGGCTGGCTTAGCATCTGCCATATTAAAGTTGGTTTCATGGCTCAGCACGCTTAGTTCTTGTTCAGACAACTGCCCAGAGGATAGATTGTGTTCCACGTGTTCGTTTAGTTTTGATTCCGGTTTTAATTTTCCGAACTTCTGGTCTAAATATTGTTTCTCGTACATGTTCGATACAAAATTACACCTTTTTCAAATTTCAAATTTAAGAAAATGTATCTTTTGGTTTGACAAATTTTTAAGTTCGGGTAGTCTAGTAGGGTCCACGCAATATAATATACGCCTACTTGCGTCTACTCAGTACCCCCGTTTTATACATTTCAGGAGCTCGACCTACATCTTTTTATGTTATGTATCGCGCACAGGTAGCCTCCAACCGCAAAACCCTCCCGACGACTGTTGCAGCAAAATTTGAGAAGATGCATTTTTCGCCAATTTTCCATTTTATTTCGCGCGAATTTTGCTGAGCGACAGTTTGTCGATAGAAAGCCTAGAATTGAAAATTTGTTTGCTAACACGGAAGTTGGTCTACCACCCTAGATGCTCCTAGCCTCAGACTTCTGTCTAACAGGACCGATGGCATTAGCAGAGCTTAATCTTTAGTTTATTATTTAGTTTATCGATTTAATGTTAGGCTTAGTGTAGTTTAGGTTTGAGTTTATCATAAAGTAGTTATTTACGTATGTTCATCTGACTTTGGAGGTATCTAACCAAACTAAAAAAGTAAACTGCACAAAAAGTAAAATTAAACTAACAAACTAAATAATAAACTAAACTGAAACTAAAAGTAATCACAGGACTAGGGATATCTAGGGTGGTAGACCAACTTTACTGTTACAATTTCTTCTTTGGTTGTCGTCTGAGGACATTCTGCCAACCGCGGCGGCTTTTTTTGCGGTGCATAGACTTCGGTTGGGGAGAGCTTGATGAAGGTTAACGTCGAAGCCAAATAGGACTGAAGGTGCAAAAGCTGGCGTCATGTACTGTCCTCTGTAAAATTGGCTCTTCAGAATGCCAATTAGAAGCTTGTCATGCAATGACAGGCACGTCGCGGCGTGGTGCATAACTGGCAATTGTTTTGCATGCTGCCAGAATCGCCATCCTGCCAAAGCAGCTCAGTCGGCATAATTGCACAAAAAGCACGAATTTCATTGCTTACTGGCACTGAACTGAGGGCCTGCACGACGCCACCCAATACCTATCGCTTCCATTATTTTCGCATCATAACATGATTAATTTTTCATCGACCTGCCACTCACCCAATCATATTTTGTCCCATTTACTTAACCAGGCCGGTACGTGTTCATGTACTCTCTTTTCCAGGCCCCTCTTTGTTCGGCCAATGTCTGACAGACTACAGCACTGACCCCGACACCATGGTCAGGAAGTTTAACAGAGTGCATCCAACGCTCAGGTTTTCTGCAAAGACTGAGATTGGTAATGAAATTGCATTCCCTGATGTCCTTCTGCGAAGGCAAAATTATGGATCGATCCTGCGTAGGGTGTTCCGAAATAAAACCTGGACGAGACAATACACCAACTTTCACAGTTTTGTTCCACTAAATATAAAACGAAATATAGTCGAGGGATTAGCAGCTAGAGTACGACGGATCTGCTCTCCTGAAACTGTCGAAGCAGAACTTAAACAGCCGCAGCACAAGCTTCTTTAAAACGGATACCCAGAAAGGTTCATCCTCATGAATACTGGCGAACGCACCAAGAAGCCTGCTACCTTAACCGCAGAAAAGAAGGACGTACTCATAAGACTGCCTTTCTTAGGAGATGCAGCAAGCGAGCTGGTAAGACGACACCTTAAGACTGCGATAGCAAACGCTTTCCCCGCGGCGAACTTACGCGTGCTCTTCACGAACTCTCCCCTCATACGCTTGGGAAGTAAATACCGACTCCAGTTGAAGGCCATATATATGTGCATCTAGTAATTCACTTGCTCCCGTGGAGCAGGATATATTGGCCGAACAACGAGGCGCCGGGAAAAGAGAGTACGTGAACACGTACCGGCCTGGTTAAGTAAAGGTGAAACTAAATCGATCTCGAGCTCTATTCTTGCAAACCTTTTCGATATTTTGTCAGTAAGCTTTTCCTCCTTTTAAACATGTGAAGGTGTTTGGGGTCTCTCATAGCACCAGTTGAATGAATTTCAGTTGACGCACTGTTCCCCCAGTATTCTCTTCTTAAAAGGTGTACAAAAATTATGACTGCTATGTAGACTTTCGAAAAATTTCCATTATTGAAAAAAGTAAGTCACGGAACTCTTAGCTAGGTCTCTAGCAAGTGCAAAAAATATCCTGCCTTTTGAGGGAAGTAAAGACAAAATTCGTTTGAAAAGGTGATTTGCTGGATTTTTTTCCCTCTATAGCCCTTTGAGAAACTAGACGCATTTTTCTCAATACAAGCGTTTCTTTTGCTCAGCAGAATTTTTTTAAATCTTGTCATTCAACTAGGAGCATTATTTGTCACAATCGTAGAGGAGTTAATTTCATCTAAGATTAAATATTCATCAGTAAACCCTGGATAAAACGCTGACAGGAAATTAACTTGTACCTTTGATCAGAGAGCAATAAAAAAAACATCCAAGAAGGATTTCGACGGTGGTCTAGAAAACAAGTACCGTGCCTCTGGTAAATCCATCAGCCCTGTGGCGGACAGTCAACAATGGCGTTCGATTTCTTTGTTCAATACTCGCTGCCTCAAGGTCATGCGACCTCCCAGGCGGCTGGTTCCCACTCGCTGACCGGAAGACCCTTGACAGACTTCTAC